GGTGTTCTAATATTAATATGTGATGATTAAATTGTAATTTAAGAGTGTTAATTATATTCAAACATAGAAACAACAACATTTAAATGAGGCCTAAAAAGAGTCAATTAAAAATTTGAAAACTTTTATCTGGGATTAATGACGTACTTAATAGTAGTAGTAGTATCATTGACATGTTTTTACAATTTCTTACTTTTCGTAGTGTGTGCATACATATGTGTCATTGTTAGAACTCTAAAATTTTATTTTTGTTGAAAATGTAATGCTTTTACATGACCCCGACCCTCTTTCCTGCCTACCCAAGCCCTCGGCCCCGATTTCCACCGCCAGCCCTTGCTTCCCTGGCCACTGTCCACAACAGTGACACCTCTCCAGTGAGGTCACCACAATGACACCGGTCACAACCACCACCAGAAACCACCACTGTCTGGTCACTCACAACCGCAAGCCGCACTCCAACACCAACCTCAACCCCATTCCACTGGCAGCCCCCTGCTATCCCCGGCCACCGCCACCGTCCTCCACCGCCCCTGTCCAACCCTCTTCGAACTCCCCAGCCCCATCCTTACACGGCCATTGCCCCACCCCCCTCACCGCATCCCTCCCCGGCAGATCCAACTACTCAACCACCGCGTACCCACCCCACACCCTGTCGCAGTCTTCGCACACCTCTGCGCCACCCCTACGACAGAGGCGCCATAGCGACGAGACAGAATTGTTCTCCAATCGCTTCTGACAACCAGATCCGAACCCTAGCCCGAACGATGCCTATTATTGCCGAAAATGGATGATATCAATTCGTAATCACGCCTCGCCATTTGCCTTCATAATAGATGATGTAATCCTCGCTCGCCATCATCAAATCTCCACCATCTCCAGGCCGCCGACATCAATAGGTTGCCGCCATCACAGGTTTTGGGATTCGTCGAAGAAGAGATAAGAAAATAGAAGAAAGACATACCTGCGATGTCCGTACGACGAGGAGACAACGGCGTGAAGATGCCAGTGGCGGCGTGAAGATGGTGATGGCGTGCGGATGGCTGTGCGGGTGATGGAAGAAGAACGACGGTGCTGAGGACAAAATTAGGATTGGTTGTGCGGCTGATGGAAATGAATTAGGCTGCAGGGATATTACAGTCACTCTATACACTTTCAGTAACTATTTTGTTCAAACGGGATTCTAATCATATTTTGGTCTTTAATAACCCCAGAAGTGATAGTTATGCCATTATTTCCTATAAAAATCAAAATGATTAACTTCAATCAATACAGTCAAAAAAGTAACAAAACCTTATTTTTTTCTTATTATCACACAAATCAACGCGTGAAAACAAAAGTTATGTGTTTGGTGAAAAAGTTGGCTGATTGGTGACATTGTTTTTCAAATTATCAGGCTTATCAGCCAACTTTTTCACCAAAAACGAAACTTTTGATTTTGCGCGCTGAATTGTATAATAATTAGAAAAAGTAAGGTTGGAGTTACATTTCAGTCGGCTGTATTGGCTGAAGTTACCGTAGAAAACCATGTTAGCTATTTTTCATATAACTTTTTCTCTGTTTTATGATTAAAAATAGGGAAATCACCCTAAATAGGTGTAAATGATGTTTGAAATTCCAAAATAGGACTATTATGTTTTTCTTCCCAAAATAGGAGTGGGGCTCTGAATGAAAGCACCAAATGATAGAGTATATCTAGAGAGAGGTGAGAGCTAGAGAGAGATGTGCAATAATATGCTTCAATAGAATGAATTTTTCCCCCTATAACTACTCCCAAGGGGAGTATTTATAGAGAAAATACGGGCTGGGCTCCCAAGCCTTGGGCTTGGGAGGCCCATTTACAACTGGACCGCTACTGGGCCGAATACAAAGCCACTAATGGGATGTACAAATGAGTAAGTGTAAAATCCGGTTCTGTGAGGTCTTCGTGGCCGACGAGGGCGTGGCCGACGAGGAGACGGCCGACGAGGGCACGGCTGACGAGGGCACCCGGGTTCCTTGGCTTCATGACCATATTCTGAGTTGGTACCTGATGGATAGTGTACCCGGGGGGTAGCTTATCTGGGGGGTTATTGCGGGGAATAACAAGAGAGAAGTCAGAGCAAGTAGGTAGAGAGAGAAAGTGTATTCAGAAAGTATGTAGCGTTTATGACTTGGTTACAAATGGGGAAAAGGGGTGCTATTTATAGTAGCAATAAATGCCGGACAGGGACACGTGTCAAGCGTCCATTGGCCGAGAGGTCACCTCATCTTGTTGGCGCTGGCAACCGCATGTGGTCGTATTTAATGCGGCTGTTGGAAGGGACGTTTGTACATGGTACGGTGATCTGTACGCATGTGGTGTGGATATCATGTCGGGCAGGGTGCCCTCGGCTGTAGAGGACTAACCGAAGGCTCTGAGTTCCGGGGACCCCTAGGTGCCGAGGGCTACTGATTTTCACCGTTTTTCCCAGTAGCTTTGTTTTGCTGTCCTGACCTTCCTGTGAAAGTAAGAGCCTTCGGCCAAGGGGCCGAAGGCACCTCTGGTGCGCCTTGTGGGCTGCTTGGTACTCTGGGCGCTGTGACTTGGGCCTGTTGGGCCTTCTGGGCCCGTTGGGCCTTGATCGGAGTAGTAGGAGTCTATGGGCCGGGGGTTCCCGGACCATATACTCCATCAGGAGTCCCTCACTCCTTTTGCCGAAAAGGTACTTGAGGGAAAAGGAGTAATCGTGTTTGTCCTCTGCCTTTGTTCCGTCAGTAGCTTGTAGAGTTGTGGGTAGTTTGCTGTTTGTTGATTCTGCCGAGGGCAGTCCCTCAGTTACCCACATGTCGGGACTTGAGGGGTCATGTTTGTGAATTTTGTGATTTTTCCCGAGGGGGTCCTCCAGTCCCCCACTCCTTGAGGCACTTGCAAAGTGGTGAAAAGGAGTAGAGTAGTTGTGTTGCTGTTGTGGGCCGAAGGCTGACGCTTTTCGTTTCATTTTGGGGGGATGCCTCGTTAAAAACCTCATTAGGAAAAACCCTGTGGGAAAAAATCCTAATGAGGCAAAAAGAGTGCACCGAATTCCCCCAACGATGAATCGAAAATGTGAAACCTTGGTTCAAAATGGAGAATAATGGTAATGCCGAAGGCTCTCCTTGCTCTGAGGGCTCCTGTGTTGATTAGCCGGAGGCTTGTTGTTGATGTCCTAGGAGGTGCCGAAGGCGGGTCCCTCGATATGGGGATCGAGGGCGTAGTGAATGATGGTAGTAGTTGAGGTGTTACCGGGGTGTCATTACGAGGGCTCCCATTACCTGTGTGCCGTAGGCTATCTGTCAATGAGGCACACTGAGGCGGGATCCCCGAGGGGTGGCCTGATATGAAGCCTTGGGCTTCTGAAGGAGTGACCCCAAAGGCGTTTGTTATGTACTGTGTGGGGCACAACCCGGGAGCGTCTCTGGGTAAGTGTACCCGGAGGCTCTCCTTGATGAAGTGGAGTTAAGCAAAAGCCCGGGGGCTCCCAGAATATAGCCGTTGGAAATATAGCCGTTGGAATATGTAACGTCAGGATAGAGCCGTTGGGGGGGAGTACACGTGGTGCGTGATGGTTGGCCGCCCGTGGGCGGCGTCACCGGTTGGGCGAAGACACGGCGTGTAATGATGATAGTCCAACCGGAGGCCCGGTTTCCAGGCCCAAGCCCGGATTCCAGCGCCTATAAATACCCCATGGCCGGCTCCCTTCCCCCTGTGCGAAATCCCTATAGCGAAGCTCTGCCAAAATTTCTAGAGAGAGAAACAGCAGCCCTCGATCAATCCCTGCCTTAAGGTCATTTCCCCCCTGCTCTTCTCGTTGTAGTTAGCTGTGCCCTGTGCCCTTAGGCTAGGAGATAGATTTTTTTAGAAAACACTAGTGTTTCCGAGCCCTCGGACTATAGCCAAGATGTCTTCCCAGAGTGACTCCCAGGACATATCGAGGGATCCATCGGTGGAAGAGGAGAGCTTCTCAGACGCTGGGTCCTCAAGTGAGCAGCCCTCGGTCCAAGAGGACGTCGCGATGGCGATAGAGGTACAGAAAGACCTGACGGCTGAAGTCGAAGCCGAGGGCTTTGAGCAGGAGGCGGAGGACGAAGACCTAGCCCTCGCCGTGCAGGTTGCAGAGGAGGAGGAAGCAAAGGAGAGGAAAAGGTTGACAGTGACTGTCCTTCCCCCCCGCGGCTCTGGTGAAGCAAGCAGCTCGAGGCCACTGAACCCGATGCCCTTGAGAGTAGCCCACGGATCGAGGGAGAAGAAGGCGAAAGCTGCTACCAGGAAGAAAGTCGGGGCTGCCGACCAAGGGAAGCCCGTTGATATGCCCGAGGGGTATTCTTGGCTGAACACTGAGGCCCTTGAGATAAAGTCGAAGGCGGACAAGGCGGATTTCTACGTCACGCAGCTACACGTAGGGCCTTCGGCCGTGGTGGTCGAGCCGGGAGTTGACGATGTGCTGTCTCGGGCGCCCGAAGGGTGTATTGCAGTACACGTACTGTCGGTCTCCATGGGCCTTCGGTTCCCTATGCACCCCTTCCTCCGGGAGTACCTTAGGTTTGTTGGCTTGGTCCCCTGCCAGCTGACACCTAATAGCCACTCCTACGTGGCGGGTTTTTTGAACCTCTGCAGGGACCGAGGGGTGACCCCCAGCCTGGACTTGTTCTTCCAGAGCTTCAACCTCTGCCGAGGGGGTCACGCGAATGCCGAGGGCTTCGCCAACCTACAGCAGATAGCTAGGTGGAAGCTATTTACAGAGGCGCCTTCGTCCAATAAGGGCTGGAAGGAGCGATGGTGCTACGTCAGAGTTGCTGAGAGCCCATTTCCGGCGGAACTTCGGGATCGCTTCCGTCGGCATCCGAAGGTTGGAAACGCCGCTCTCGAGAAGGATAGCTTGATAATAGCCAAAATCCCGAAGGGTCGCACGAAGCAAGTGTCTATTAAAGATTACACTGCCGACAAGAAACTCTTCGCCCTCGGCTTCCGGAGATACCGCTTCATCGGGGAAACGGACGAGAAGTATCCCGTTTTTGCTGAGGCCTTCGGGGGAGCAGGAGGTAGTCTACGAGGGCCCTTAGTCTTGTACTTAGGCATTCTTATCTTGCATCCCGATAGTTGTCTGTTGTATGGATCCTTCGGGTTAATCTTTTCTCTTCATTTTTTTACAGGTATGGAGGCTCTCTTTGCCATGAAAAAGAAGAAGGAGAGGGCTCAGGTCCAGAAGAAGGAGAAAAAAGGAGCCCTCGGGCCAAAAGCCCATTGATGAGGTCTTCCCGAAGGAGGTTGTGGAGCCTTCTGTTGATGCTGCCCTTGCTACTGTGGCCGGGGGGGCGAAGGCCGAGGTGGCCGCCAAGAAGAAGAAGGGAGGCAAGGGGGTGGAGCCCCCGATCAAGAAACAGAAGGTTGCCGGGGGCACCGTTGGAATGGCGGGCCCCCTCATAGTAATTGATGATCAGCCCTCCGCTGACTCCCCGGCCGTTGACACCCCGATGGCTCAAACAGATCTTCCCCCAGAGAACTTGCCTCGGGAGATTCTTCAGCTCTCCCTCGCCCCGGGGGCATCTGTGTTGCACGGTTCAGCTGAACCGATGTCTTTCCTGAGGGGGATTACCTCGATGATGGATAAGCAAGCCCTCTCCACCTACGACGACGACGCCCTCGAGAGCAAGGCCCTTCGATCATCTATGGCTGTAAGTATTTTTACTTTGCTTTTATCTTAACACTTAGTATATTCTCAACGCCCGTCTGAACCCATTGTCCGTTATTCAACAGGCGTGTATAACCCTCGGTGAGCAGGCCCGAAGGCGCGAGGAGTGGCGTCGTCATAAGGCCGAGCTAGAGAAGTCCGTGAAGGAGCTGATCCATGACAAGGATGCTTCCCTCCGGGCGGTGTGCAGGCTGGAGGACGCCCTTCGGCAAGCGGAGCTGAAGCTGAAGGAGGCCAGAGATGACGGCAAGGCCGAGGACAAGGCAGAGGCCGAGAGGGTTGCGGCCGAGAGGAAGCAAGCGGCTGAGGACGCCGAAAAGGCCAAGGCCGAAGCTGTTGTCAAAGCCCGAGAAGAGGCCATCGCTGGGTTCATCTCCGAGGGTTGGAAGGCCGAGGGCCAGAGGGAGTGGGTGGCCTCTATGGTGAAGGCCTCGATCGAGGAGTGGGTGAAAGGCCCCGGGCTCGACTGGATGAACGAGAGGGGCGACACCTATTATCAAGCCAGCGAGTTCTTCACCCAGCATCTGATTTACCGGAGGCTCGCCCGGCATTTCGGCACCCCCCTGGCGGAGTGTGACCCCTCGGTGTATGGCCTCCCCCCGTTGTAGCCAGATGTGAGAGTCCCCCTCCCGGAGGGCGACGAGCGCCCGGTGATTCATGATTCTATGATGATGAGCGGCAATGATGATGGTGCTACCGTCGGGGATAATGCCGTCGAAGAAGAAATCTCCTCCAAACCTGCCGCAGGGACCGTCGATGAAGTGGCTGATAAATCTTAACTCGTACTTAGCTGATTTTTGAAAACTCTTTGTAATGAACCTTTGTCACCCCTCGGCTTTGGCCCGTATGTAATAGTTACACTGACTTTCCTTTTGATGATTGATGGATGAATGTTAGCCTTCGGGCTTTTGTATATGAATGTGTCGTCCTTCTTTTCTTTTGAATGTATACCTTCGTCTCGTTTTGAATGTATGTTTAGGACTTAGAATATTTTCTTGCAATTGCGGTGCTTCTTGTAGCCCTCGGCTACTAGTAATCTTTAGTCAATTGAACCTTTCACCGAGGGCCCAATGCTCAGGACTTGGAAAATATTTATGAGTGTTTGAATACAGTCATAGCCTTCGGTAGTTAGGCACCCTTCGCTAGATGTATGACCGAGGGCCCAGCTATAGTTAGGACTTAGAAAATACTTCTAAGTGTAGTCTCACCAAGCCTTCAATCGTATGACCCCTCGGGTCGCAGGGAGATTTGGGACTTAGAAACTTGCCACCGAGGGTAAGATCCTTTGGGACTTAGGAATTTTTCTGAGTGTAGCATGTATGAAGTAGGAGCCCTCGGTCAGCATGGAAGTTTGACCGAGAGTCAAAGTGTGTAGGACTTAGAAAAATTTCCTAAGTATAGCTTCACCAAGTCTTCAACCGCATGGCCCCTCCGGTAGTATGGAGAGTTGACCGAGGGCCAATATATGTAGGACTTGGGAAATTTTCCTAAGTGTAGTATGCGTGAAGTAGGAGCCCTCGGATGACTGCAGTTCAATCGCTGTGTGATGATTAGGTTGAGAACCCAATCCTTAGGACTTAGAAAAATTTCTAAGTGTAGTTTCCCATTGGAAGCCCTCGGCTGGTAGCCCCCTTTCCTGATGTGTGACTACTCGATTGAGGGCCAAATATGTAGGACTTAGAAAATCTTCTAAGTGCTGTTGTATCACGTGGCCTTCGGCTATCATGGTCCCTCAGTTGAAATATTGATCAGGCCGGGGGCTCAATCTTTAGGACTTAGAAAATTTTCTAAGTGTTGCTTCCTTGTGTAGCCTTCAGTTAGTAGCGTTTTCCAATTAAGTTTTCCCGAGGGCGACATTATTTTGGAATAAGCCCCCTTGGTTGGCCTTTGATGGTTTGCAATAGGTGCCTCCGGTTGTTGGGTGATATGTGAGCCTCCGAAAAATTTGCAGGACGTTGATGTTGTAGTGAATGCTGGTGGGACATAGGTGCCCTCGGCATTCATTTGAAGGGTTCTTGAGCTGCCTTAGTCAGTTGCATTCCCTTTTACAGGTGAGCTTGGTCGTTTAATGTCCTTGAGACAGTCTAATCCCTTTGTATTGTTGAATAGTAACCTTCGGGACATACGAGCCTTCAGTTACCGGAGGTGTTCCCGTAGGGAGCCCTCGGTATGCTGTTATTTGTTGGAGCGTTGTACTCATTGATTTCTCGATGAGTCTACTCCCCTTCACCCCCTCTGTTTTTTTTTTGGTTGGTGGTGAAGGGAAGGCATCAAGAAACTTGGTTTCTTGGTAAGGCTGGGCCTATCAGGAGACCATCAGAATACACCAATGGCTCTCCTCCCTCGGGTTAACCTTCCGAGTTCCGAGGGGATCGAGGGTCGTTTCCTGGGTACAAGATATGGTGGTCTGTAACCTGCCTCCCCTTGGGGGATGGCGTGGAAAGCGCCTCATTTTTGAAAGTCGTCCCATCGGCGCTAGACATAGTCCGTGGCCTGCCACACCCTTGGGGTGGTGGCGCTGGGAGCGTTTCGGTTTGAAAGTCGAATCCTGGGCATTTCTCGTGCCTGTCATACCCTTGGGGTGATGACGCGGAAAGCGTTCCGTTTTTGAAAGTCGAATCCTGGGCATTTCTCATGCCTGTCATACCCTGGGGTAGTGACGCGGAAAGCGTTTCAAGGAAGGGTTTTCATTTGCACACTAGTTGCAAATGGCCGAGGGCACTACGTGCCGCCGGCACCGATGGTGGCGCCTTCGGTATATGCGTCCTCGTGGGGTACGGCTTTAGAAACAACACTTGGTGTTAGTTTCGATATGTAGCCCCCCGGTACTTGGTACCGAGGGGTCTTCTGTAGGGACACTTGGTGTTCTTCTCCTATTTGACGTTGATGGGTGAGTTGTGTACCCCCGGTACTTGGTACCGAGGGGTCTTCTGTAGGAACACTTGGTGTTCTTCTCTTTGATGTTGATGGTGGAGATGTGTACCCCCGACACTGGGTGCCGAAGGGTCTTCTGTAGGAACACTTGGTGTTCTTCTTTTTGATGTTTGATGGTGGAGATGTGTACCCCCGGTACTTGGTACCGAGGGGTCTTCTGTAGGAACACTTGGTGTTCTTCTTTTTGATGTTTGATGGTGGAGATGTGTACCCCCGGTACTTGGTACCGAGGGATCTTGAAATGAAACACTTGGTGTTCCCACTGTTGTTGAAGGTGTTGATGGTGTCCGCCCTCGGCACTCGGTGCCGGAGGGGGTTCTTCTCGTGGTGAGGTCTGGGGCCTGTAGTTGGTATGAGGGCTTGGCCGCTCATAAGTGTTTTGCGGTTGTTCTTGGTGTCTTGAATGTGTCTTCATTCCTCAAAATTGGAGGCCTTGGGCCATAGGATAGTACATTCACTAGTTATGAGGGCTTGGCCGCTCTTACATTATTGATAAAATTTAACTAAGTGGTGTACATTCCAGTGCCTAGGGACCTCTTTCTCGTTGGGGCGTTTGAGCTTGTAAGTCCCAGGTTTGATGATGGCTGCTATGATGTAGGGGCCTTCAAACTTTGGTGCCATTTTGCCTCCCTCGGCCGGCTGGCTGGCTTCCCTCCTCCGGAGGACATAGTCCCCCACTTGGAATTCTCGGATGCGAACCTTGGCGTCGATGTAGCCTTTGACTTGCCTTCGGTAGTTTTCTGCCCGGATGAAGGCTTGCTCCCGGCGTTCTGAAAGGAGGTGGAGGTCGAGGGCCATGTTGCTGTCGTTGACCTCGGGGTCATATTGGATCACCCTCCGGGTGGGAAGGGTGACTTCCGTAGGAGCTTTGGCTTCAAAACCGTAGCAGAGGGAGAAGGGTGTTTCACCTGTTGCTCGCCGAGGGGTGGTGCGGTAGGCCCAAAGGATGTTGTGGAGTTCTTCCACCCAGCCACCGCCCTCGGCCTCCAGCTTCTTTTTGAGGCCTTCGAGCAAGGTCCGGTTGGCGTTTTCTACTTGCCCGTTGCCTTGAGGGTAGACAACGGAGGAGAAGGTGTGTTTGATGCCCCATGCCTCCAGAAGGGCACAGAAGGGGGCTGCCTCAAATTACGTTCCGTTGTCGGAGATGATCTGCTGGGGGACGCCAAACCTTGTGAGGATGTTCTTGAGGACAAAATGACGGCACTTCGCCTCTGTGATACTGGCGAGGGGCTCAGCCTCCACCCACTTGGTAAAGTAGTCGATGGCCACGATGATGTACCTGTTGTTGGAGGTACCCCTCGGCAGAGGGCCCACAAGGTCTATCCCCCATCAAGAAAAGGGGACAGATGTGCTGATGGGGGCATAGTTGATCGCTGGCCTGCCGGGGGCTTTCTGGAAATGTTGACATGCGGTGCACCTTCGGGCAAGGTCAGCACAATCTCTGGCCATGGTTGGCTAGAAGTAGCCCTGGAGAATGAGCCTTCGGGACATGGAGAAGGGTCCCTGGTGAGCTGAGCAAGTGCCACTGTGCACCTCCTCCATTGCGACCTCGGCTTCATCCTGATGAAGGCACCGAAGTAGCGTGCCGTTGTAAGACCGTTTGTAGAGCCTTCCGTCTTCGATGGTATAGCTAGGAGCCCTCAGTTTTGCTAGTTTAGCGCGGGTCTCGTTCTCAGGTAGCTGCCCTGTGGAGATGAAGGTGATGATATCCGAGATCCAGTCCTCTTGGCGTTGTTGTATGTTCATAACGGGGCTTGCATGGATACTCGAGAGACTGAGTTCCTCAATTTTAGCAATCTTGGAGATGTGCTCGGGGGAGTCGGCCGAGAGCTTAGATAGTATGTCGGCCTCGGAGTTCTGAGCCCTCGGTATTTGAGTGAGAGAGTGTGCCTCAAATACCTTAAGCAACTCCTTGTCGGCCTCTTTGTACTGTTTCATTCTCCCCTCCTTGGCCTCATATTCCTCGGAGATTTGGCCAACGACCAACTTGGAGTCGCATTTGATGTGGATCTGCCGAGCCTTCATGTTGGCAGCCAGCCGAAGGCCACATAGGAGGGCCTCATACTCGGCCTCGTTGTTGGAGACTTTGAAGGAGAAACGGATTGCATAGTAGGCTTTGAAGCCCTCGGGAGTAATGAGGACTACCCCTCCCCCGCATGCTTTGGTCGCGGAGGAGCCGTCGGTGTAGAGGGTCGACCAGTCGTCCGAGGGAGCCGAGGGCTCCCCGTCCGTGGCTGCCCTTGCGGTACACTCCGTCACAAAGTCCGCCAGGGCTTGGCCCTTGATGGCAGGCCTCGGACGGATGTCAATGTTGTACTGGCTCAAGAAGATAGCCCATTTCACCATGCGGGAGGATCTGGTGGGGCTCCTCATGAGGGCGCTGAGGGGTTGATGAGTGAGGACCTGAACCGGGTGAGCCTGAAAGTAGTGGCCCAACTTCTTGACGGTCCAAACGATGGCTAACACCGTTTTTTCCACAGGAGAGTACCTGAGCTCGGCCTCCCTTAGGGTCTTGCTTACATAGAAGATGGCATGTTGGATGTCGTCTTCCTCCCGGATGAGTACGAAGCTGATGGCTGCCGGGCTGACCCCAAGGTAGAGATAGAGGGTCTCCCCTACCTTTGGTTTGGAGAGCACAGGGGGTGAAGATAGATATCGTTTGA